CGGCGTATTACGAATCTATTTCGGGTGGCATGGATCACATTATGTTCATCCAGGGAGAGAAGAGATTTGTGCCACGCGATTCCGATCATCTTAATCACTGCGACAATGTCTCCCTTATGAGTTGCATATCCAATACAGGAATGTTTACGATCTTCAAACTACCAGACTAAACGGGAACTGCGTAAACATGGGGTCTGGGTGAGCTAGAATTGAACTTCAATCCGACAACGACAGATACATGCCATTTGAACGGGCATGAACAATCGAGATGAACACAAGCGCTTTGCATGCATCCAAATAATGAATTGTTTCGTTCCACCTGGATAGTAGTTTAGTAGTGTTAGCAGTAGTAAACATTCCCCGCTAATTCGTTCACAATATCAAAGATTCACACTTGGTCGCACCCACTAGTAGGCGGTCAGTCGACTGGTGGCAGTTCTATAACTGGCCATTTCTCTCAAACTGGATTACAGGGTGGCGTAATCAACGTATTTCGCTTGCCTCAGACAGAAACACATTTTCTCGTCTATGTTTCGTTTATGTGAAAAATTATCAAATTGTGCAAATGAAAAAAATACGCAGCCGCATTTTCATGACTGTTAAGCTGCCCCTTCGTTATGATTTGACATTTAGGTCGGAATAGGTTCACACTAATTCTTCCAGCTGAATGAGGCAGATACGTGCATCACCACACACTGACGACTTGCAAAGGGAAGAACCACGGCCCCGTCACTCAAGACGGTGATTTCCATGGAGCAAAACCAAGCGGAGTCTCGTAGACCACGATCGATTTTATTAGAATTATGAACTAAAACTGGACAAATATTGATCGTTTAAAGTGAACAGAAAGCGAACGGATAATGTTACATTCAGTGTCTGTGAGAGATTGCATTGGGATTCATGATGCGGGAGTGCGGAACGATGGATGAAACGGTCGGTAGCGTTGTTGTCTATCAGTTACTTGATTTTTTCATATCCGTCGGGAAAAGTTTATTGTACGATGTCCCTCTTCCCTTCCCCAAATACCTTGCCGATACTTCAGTTCCTTCTACAAACCTCACATCTGTAAGACATGCACCAAATAATTTCGAAGATTCTGGTAAAACTTGGATATGCCCAAAATGTAATAACAATCTTCTGTTTGACGCAAATCGTGAGTTAACCACAAAAGTGGCGTATCGTTCAAAGTGTGACGTGTTCGACATACTTCTGTTACGTAGCGGAATCAAAGAAAAGAACTCAATAGATTACAAGGCGAATTATTTCATCTGGTTGTTGCTCATATGCATGTGCAACAAAGGAGACTTCTAGTGGACGCTACAGCATAAATACAAAAGGAATCAAAACGAAAGTTAGTTTTTGAAAAGACTCAAAGACAAATTATTTGTGAACATAGCATAAATATTTAATGCATCCGACTTCAGCCAAGTCACAGGAAATAAAATACGCCGTGAAATGTGCAAACTGAACAGTAGACGCATTGGAAACGACGCACGTATGAGCACAACTTTAAGCAGTTGAAAGATGTTAGTTCGCAGCAGCCACAGATTCGATGCATGAAGCTAAACCGGCTGTGGCCCAGTCAATTGCACACTTCATTAGTGGATTTGATTAAGCACATTTCAGTTGAGTGGGGAAGGGGGTTGGAATTTATCAATCGACCTGAAAAGACATCATAACAAAACTAGATTGTCAAGATGGGCCGATTACGGTTCTATTTACCGTGGATCTGGTTCTATACTGATCTTACTAATCCACCACAGAACAAGCACATATTGCGTGTTCGACTGACTGGTCCATAAGAGACAGGAAAAGGGGAAAGTAAGTTTTACGCATTTTTCAGTTGAAGTTTGAAATTAAAGACGATATGGTAGTGAAAGAACACGCAATTCAAAATGTTTTTATTCTACTGAACTGTTTCATGGCTCAAATGACTTACATCAAAATCACTCAATAGCCGTCACATCATTGACGCACCAGGATCAACATTCCGGTGCTATCTAATCAGGACAGGTGATAGCAACTGGACTCAAAAGAACTGGAATATTAATCACTAGTAACACTGGTGTCATAATCAACCTTAACAGGTGACTGATTGAGCCACGTAATGGCGATTTACGATTACGAAGCTTTAGAAGATATTAGGTGAAATTGGACGGTCGCCTACCGCAGTGCGCCTTGTTTGCAGGCTGGAGAAAGCCACATGGAGGCCAGTAGATGACGTGGAGACGAGGCATAAAGAAATGCACAGAGTGATTAGATAGATAAGGTGTCTCTCGTATTCCGGTTTGGGGTCCAAAAGACTCCGAAACCACATGGATAGGGACACTGAAGGTCATGGCTGCTAACCGACAGCAAGGGCGAGCTTGCTGTCACTTCTAATCAGATCAGAATGCTTGAATTAGTATGTACATACAATTGAACCGTGTACTCTGTGTTGACCGTAGAGGCTCGCTTTCTCTTCCCGTCCCTGAAAATAGGCCCAATCCCTGTCCTCCTTACACATTCTCACTTATCTTGTATGCATTATGAGTTTGGCAGCGATCAGTGAAGTTCGCTTCACTGTATTACGCTGTGCAATGATGATGATTAGGTGAAATTAGAAACGAAGGTAGTATCCCATTTTTATCCCTCTAAAATATTGCCCAGACCGGAACGAAGTCAGAAATTTTTCAATGAGTTAATTTGAGTAGATTAATGCAGAGTGCCGCGGATGCACAAGTTGAAATGCGGAAAATCACTAACATTGCAAACTTGCCTTTTCGCTTGACACTCTTGACCACTGCAGAGAGAATATTTCATAAACTCAATGGACTACTGATGAGTAAGGCAAACGAGGCAACGAAATAATCAGTCAAACAATAAAGTCATTTTGTTCGGTTCGGATGAAACGATTTTGTAGATTATCGGCACCATCACGATTGATCAGGAGACGATCAGACTAGCGCAGGGGAAGCTTGTGGCCAATGTTCTATTGTTTAATTCGTATTATACATTCGATAAAGACACCGGCCACAGTCAAGTGACATTTCACTTCAGTTCAACGTGCTTGGCTGTGACGATAGTTACCTTTGGATTAATCAGAAGGCATGCATTGCATANATTGCATAGACGAATTGTAATCCTAAATATAAGGAGCTGCTTGGAAATTAGAAGTGCATTAGTGATTATTACGAGGAGGAGACAGTTCTTTGACTGGTAAAGAGTGCACACATATATTGGATGACTTCATGACGGCTCCAACAATCAGATACCAAAGAGTACAGGAATATGTGATTGAGATTCCACTGTAAACCTAATAAAAGTTAAGCAAACTTCATAGTTATTGTCTTGAAGGTTTGCATCACGAAGATGTAAAGATTGATGGTTGAGGTAGTCAGTTGCTGACGGAAGCGAACACATCGAGATGTCATTCAAAAATATGGAAAACAGTGGAAAAATCCGAGGACTCGCTGGCACCTCAGAGGATACTTAATGCTGCCTATCAATGCTCGATCGAAAACGACATCGAATTCAGTACATCAAAATGTACGATCATATCTCTTCACCATAAAACTCGGTTTCCGTACTCTCTGGTGAATCGACATTTTCCGTATGTCACGAATGGGAAGGATCTCGTTCTCGTTGTTCAAGACGACCTAAGTTGTTCTTTAAACTGCTCGAGGGTGTTGTCCACCGCTGTTGGTTAACTAAAGCAAGTAGTCGGCAAATTTGAGTCTACACTGTGTCCACGGTTGTTATCAGACCACATTCAACCGCACATAGGGTCTGCAATTCAAGTGTGGAATCGATGGCAGCAACGCGATCGTAAGATTTTGGAATGCCAACAAAGAATGGCCACCAAAATGGTCAAGAGACTGTAGTTCAAGATGTATGTGGAAAGAGTGGAATAAATGAGGCTGTATTCCACACAGTATCACCGAATTCGAGGGGATTAGTTTTTGGTGTATCAAATAATGCAGAATACTGATCACCCATTTCGATTACTGTTCGCCTTGTCGTCTAACATTCACCTGAGGACATTCATTCAAATTAGTGCTCCAAAAATGTCGACTAGACTACTGGTGTCATTCATTTGCCCTCAGAGTATGCACTATTTGGAATTCCCTACCACTCCACAATTGTTTCATTCAAGCAAAAACTGGATGAAATCTTGACAAACCCTAAACTTCTAAATCCGTAGAAGTACAAGAAACAGTGATAAATTGTAACGTTCCTCATCTTTCTATAAATCGTGAATCGATCCATCTGTAATAAACGCTGAGACTAGAAAATCAACCGCTTGTAAGTATTTCCCATAATAAAACTTTGGAGTTGACTTAGAAAAGAAACCAGATTGTTTGGATCAGTATGTGGTGCTGAACTATTTCTGACCACAAAAATAGAGGGCATCCAAATCTCGTACACCTTATTCATAGATCACGTTACCTACCAATGTGATCACAATCAGAGAAGATTGGAAAATCTTCAACATGTCACTGATTATTTACGTTTCTGGGAAAAGAACGTAGTGAAAACAGTTGACTCAAAAGTGTGATCAACTTTAGATGCATCGTCGTTTTGAAGCCCTAAGAGGGTCCTGGAGGGTGATTAAGCGACACAATTATCAGAACTTGTAGCTATCGTGAAGGTTCACAACAGTTTCGAAAAGACCAAACTGGGTTACTACAGCGTTGAAAATCAGATAGCCTTTGTATGACAACGGCCCCTTCCTGGAAGTTGACTGTACATTTGAATATTCAATAAGTAAAAAAGGAAACAAGAAGGCATGTTTTATTTATTTTATTTTATTACAAACACTTATCCCAGAGATTTTCACTAGTTTAAAACAAAAATTTGGAGTGTGAAAGCATTTCTGGAAACGTTCCGTCTCTGAGAGATAGAAGAATAGAAAATTTTTATCAACAATTGAGCGGAATTGGATGAGGATGTGGAAGAGGATGTTGGAATAAAAAACAGAATGTAGTTGAACAGAATGTGAACTCCAAAACGACACTTACTAGATGTTTGTCGTTCGGTTTCTTCTTCACCGCGGCCTCGACGACCACCGCATCAATATGTCCGTCTTGGGTGTAGCTGGAGGGTCAATGTAAGAGACGGAACCACAGATTGGAGGTAAATGTAACTAAGGTGTTGCGAAACTTGTACGGTTCCACTCGTGTCCAAGCTAGAAACTACACACACACACACATTATACCAACACCAGTGAGGTTTGACGCTGGAATATGTGTTTAGTGAGGTCCCCGGATGTGAGTTTCATTTGCCCTTGCTTATTCAATCGGCTCCATGGGCTGTGTTGAGGTCGACAGTTCGAATAGCAACACTAGTACAGTTCCTTAGTCAACGTTGTTG